GGAAAGGGGTAGAAAGTTGAGATTTTCCACAAATATTCCGTACAGGTAAGGTTTGTTTAGTATTAAAAATGGGCAATACTGGTCCACGTTTTCGGATAGCCCCATACAAGTGGACCCCCGGAAAACAGCATTAACTGACATTACTGTTTTAAAAATATTAGTATAGCTATGAAATTCGACATAAATAAATTTCATATAAGCCAAAATATCTCCAACAACTCTTATGGGGATCGGCCCATAATTGACCCTACCCCCATATAAGGTTCCCTTTAGAATATGACTATAACGGCCATTACTGGCTTAAAAATACCAGTAGATCTATTCGACATAAACGAGTTTTATGGGAACTGAAATGTTCCCCCGCACCACTTCAGAAAATTACTTTAACTCTCATTAGCTACTAATAAATAAACAACTTCTTTACGAAACATAATTTATGTACAAAGTTTATGGAGATCGGTCTACTAAGGTCCAGTTCAGAAAAAGACTTTTTACTGTAGTTTTGTTGGAACTGAAATTTTTCAACTGAATTTGATGATTGATTGATATAACCCTTTTTACAAAAAACTGTTTATGGTTGGAAAAACTGGACAAAAACGATTTGTTTTTAAAAATTAATATTTTTAATTCGGAAGAGCACGGTCCATAATTAAGCCCTCATTAAAGGCCCTCTTCCAAATATTACCCTCATGTTAATATCGATATATGATGATAAAATTCAATATAGATCTTACAAATTATATTTTTTTTTTCGATAATAACAAAAGTATCGGTTCGTAAATATCAAAGTTTATTTATAAGGAAGCATTCCTTTTCGCCAATCATTTGATGGTCGGTATATAAGATTCGGCATGGCCGAATATAACACTCTTACTTGTTAATATTTTCCTTTCATTGTTGGTTAAATTTATTCCATTTGAATTTATTCTTATTTTACTCAAAACAAAATACAAACCTGATCAGCTGCCGACGCGTGAAAAGTTAACATTTATTGAACTTTTCGCGGCAGACGCGTTACAAACTACAGTGTGTAACTTGTTAAATGAAAATTCACTATTTCACGCGTCTCCGAGTACAAAGCGTGTTGTGCACTTCCACCTTAACTAAGCAGTGTTGTTGGAAGTAAAACAGGGAAGTGACGAACAAGAAGCATGTATTGTATTCTATGTGAGCAATTTTTGTAGACGTAAAATAAAACAACTTTTTACTTCCTATTGTAAGTCCTTATTTAAGTAGTTATTTATAAGAGAGTGTGTTAAGTAATTTCCTCCAATGTCACCGTTTTAAAATACTAAGGTAAAATGCTAATAAATAAAGTGAATGGCGTTTTTTAGCTTTTTAACTTTTCAATATAAGTTTTTGCTGGGTATCTACTTTTTTCAGGCTTGGGTAATAAAATCATTAAAAAAAAATTGAGTAGAACTCATTTAATTAGTATAAAAATATTACTATACTATACTTCAGAAAATGACTTTATTATTGCTAAAAATTAGTGATATATATTCCAAAGAGAATCAAAACAGGTAAGAGTCCTATATTCGGTGTTAAATAGAATAGCCAGTACAAAGAATTATTACAAAAAATACCAGTTGTAAAACGAAAATGTATCAGAAAGTCCCCTTTTATATATTTTCGATCAATCAGGGTGTTGCATAATTCATAGAACAAACAAGTTAAAAAAATCGTTTCTTTTGGAGAACGAAAAAGTACCAAAAGGTTCCCTTTTATAATAAGTTCTCATCTAATCCGGGCTCTACATATTTAATTTCATGTTTCTAGGTTCAATATTTTAGAAAATTCAAAAAATAAATTTTGTAGAACGAAAAAGTACCAAAAAGTCCCCTTTTATATGTTCGAACCTAATGCGGGCTCTACATACTAAATTTCATGTTTCTTGCCAATAACAACATACTGCTTCGTTTGTGTTGGTAGGAAAAATCTGGCATCACCTGTTTTGATGATCTACTGCACTTCTGTGCAACACTTATTGCATTCATTGTCATTACACTTACTTCCTTTTAGTACTTCCTTTTTACAACTTACTTTATAATAAACTCTTATTCTTGTATACATCAAAAACGAATCCGCCTATTTATTTCAACATCACAACAGGTTATGGGCCCAGATAGCGTTTGTTGATAAATACAAAAACCGTTTTTTAGAGTACATTAAATCGTTTTGGTAAAATGTCTATTGCCTCAAATTTTAATGTGGAGAAATTAGTGGGTAGAGAAAACTACGCATCGTGGTCGTTTGCTGTGAGGAATTTACTTCAACATGAGGAACTATGGGACACTGTTCAAGGTAACTATCCACCTACTGGAATGGATACAAAGCAAGACATAAAGGCAAAAACGAAGATAATACTTCTTGTTGATAAAATCAACTATGTGCATATTGAAGATGCCGAAACATCAAAGGAAGTCTGTGATAAATTAAAAGCAGCATTCCAGAACTCCGGCCACAGGGTATACAGAGGCGTCACGAGCAAAAAACTATTAGCCTCTCTTTCGCACAAAACGATTTCAATGATTTTTTTAGCTGTATTTTAAATACCTCTTCTCACCAAACAATTTCAAAATCAAACAAAAGCTGATTTTAGACTTTTTTAAATGTCAAAAGTGACACCTCTGTATACTTTGTGCTCCGGCCTCACACGTAGAGTTGGTCTTTTACGGCAGCTAATAACAAGTTTTTCCACATCAGAAAATATTGAGGAATACGTTAGCAAAATAGTTTCGACCGCGCATAAATTAAAAGAAGTTGACATGCCAGTAAGTGACGAGTGGATAGGTACACTCCTGTTGGCAGGTTTACCTGATGAGTACGCTCCGTTGATAATGGGAATCGAAAGTTCCGGCGTTAAAATAACGTGTGATTCCATCAAAACAAAACTTTTACAAGATGTAAAAAAATCGAATGAAAACGTTGCCTATTTTGCTAAAACAAAGAAGAAGTATGATACGAAAAAAGGATTTCGTTGCTTCAATTGCAATCGTTATGGGCATAAAGCATCTGAATGTAAAGCAAATTCTAATAAAGGTAAAACTAAAAAAGAAGTTGGTTTTTGCACAGTTTTTACAACGGGTGTATATGACTGGTATATTGATTCCGGTGCAAGTTTGCACATGTCCATGAGAAAGGACTGGTTTATTGACATTAAGGAGCCTAACGTATCGGAAATTTTTGTGGCCAATAAAGAAAAATTAAAAGTTCAAGGTGTCGGTGACATTAAAATTAATATCAAACACACCAATGGAGATCTGGTGAATGTAACTATTCACGACGTACTATATGTACCCGGTCTAACAGTGAATCTTTTGTCTGTAAGCCAAATAATGGAAAGAGGCTACATAGTTAAATTCCAGAATGGTAAATGCACAATAACCGAAAATGGCTCCGTAATTGCAACGGCTCACCAGCAAGATAATATGTTCAAATTAGATCACGAAGTGAATCAAATGTGTATGGTTTCAACTACATCAAACTCTAAGGTATGGCATGCTCGTATGGGCCATTTAAATTACGCAGATTTAATCAAAACGAAGGAGTTGGTAACCGGAATGAAGTTTCAATCCGATAAAGAGGAAAATTGTGTTCCTTGCATTAAAGGAAAAATGTCAAGAAAATCGTTTAAAGCTTCCAAATCCCATACTACAAAATTGCTACAGCTCGTACATTCGGACTTTTGTGGCCCGATGGAGGAAAAATCGATTGGTGGAGCTAAGTATTTTTTAACATTTATAGATGATTTTTCGCGTAAGGTTTTTATTTATATATTGCAGGAAAAAACGGAAGTACTAGCATGTTTTGAAAATTTTATGGCTAAAGTTGAGAAAGAATCTGGTCATAAAATAGCATGTTTACGGAATTTTGCAACCAGCATATATACCAAATTATTGAGCAGAAATGGTATAAAACATCAGCCCCCAGCAAAACGGCGTTGCTGAACACATGAATCGCTCCATCGTTGAACGAGCCCGTTCTATGCTATTTCACGCTGGTTTGGACAAGAAATTTTGGGCTGAGGCTGTTGCAACTGCCGTTTACGTAATAAATCGTTCCGTTTGTACTGCAATTAAAAATCGTACACCACAAGAAATGTGGACTGGTATCAAACCAGACGTATCTCATTTAAGAGTATTTGGTTGTCGTGCCATTTCGTACGTTCCCAAAGAAAAACGGAAAAAAATGGGATCCAAAATCTCAAGATTTGGTCTTCGTTGGTTATTGTAGGAAACAAAGGGATATCGTTTATTAAATCCTGATGGTTGGCGCGTTGTGAAAAGTCGAGATGTTGTATCTTTTGAAAATGAATTCAAACAAACCCACAATGAGGTTCGACTCTCAAATCGTATAAGAAAACCAACGCAATTGCCAGAATATCATGTCTATACAGTGGCGACGAATGACTCAGGTGAACCCTCTATAGTTCAAGAGGCTTTAAATAGTAATGAAGAATCGTTATGGAAATATGCCATGGAAACACGTTTTCTTTTGAAATGGGTGTTCAAAAGAAAACGTGATGAAAATGGTGAAGTGCGAAGGCATAAGGCTCGGTTGGTAATAAAAGGCTGCTTTCAAAAACCAGGTATAGACTATCATGAGACCTATTCGTCATTGGTAAGGTTTACTTCAATTCGATATTTAATATCCATTACCGCACAATTTGATCTTGATATTGAGCAGATGGATGCAGTCACCGCTTTCCTTCAAGGTGATCTTTTTGATGATATATACATGGAGCATCCAGAAGGTGTTGGTGAAGATAAAGGTGGCAAAGTTTGCAAACTAAATAAAGCCATTTACGGCTTAAAACAAGGTAGCCGGCAATGGAACCAAAAACTTGATCAAGCTCTAAAAGATCAAAAGTTGATACTTGCATATATTTCAACATGAGTAACTCCAATATGTTTATCATTGCTGTTTATGTTGATGATTTACTAATTTTTTCCAACAATAATGAATTAGAAGTTTAAGTTAAAACTGGTCTTCAACAGATGTTTTTGTTGAACGATTTGGGTGATGTTAAATGCTGCGTTGGTCTACGTATTACTAGAAACCGTGAACAAGGTGAGATTTACATAGATAAATCTGTGTATATAGAGGATATTTTAAAACGATTTAAAATGATTGATTCTAAACCAATATCAACACCTTTTGATATAAATACAAAATTGACAACTCCAACACACAAATCACCAGATTTTGATAATATTCCCTATCAAGAAGCTATTGGCAGTTTACTTTATCTGGTGCAAGGAACTAGGCCAGATATCGCTTTTGCGGTAAACCATTTAAGTAAATTTAACAACAATTTTGATAATTCCCATTGGACCGCCGTAAAACGCATTTTTAGATATATCAAAGGTACAATGAATGTTAAACTATGTTTTTCGAAAATTGAAAACCCAAACATATTTGGATTTTGTGATGCGGATTATGCTGGCGATGTGACAGATAGACGTTCATGTACTGGATATGTGTTTATGCAGCAGGGTGCAATTAGCTGGTGTAGCAAGCGACAGGCAACTATTGCTCTTTCGACAACAGAAGCTGAATACATGGCAATGTCTGCAGCGGTGCAAGAAGCAGAATGGCTGCGGCAACTGCAAAACGATTTATGGAACTCCGAAAAAATATAATTCTTTTCTGTGACAATAATAGTGCCCTAAACTTAGCAAAGACAGATGCATATCATGGTCGATCAAAGCACATTGATGTGAGGCATCATTTTTTACGTGACAAAGTAAACAATGGAAATATAGTGTTGCAGTATAAGTGTTCTGAGGATATGGCTGCTGATTTCCTTACAAAACCAGTCACTAAGGAGAAACATTTAAAATGTTCCAAACTGGTAGGACTCATCAATTTCTAGCCAGCATTAGTGGAGGTGTTGGTAGGAAAAATCTGGCATCACCTGTTTTGATGATCTACTGCACTTCTGTGCAACACTTATTGCATTCATTGTCATTACACTTACTTCCTTTTTGTACTTCCTTTTTACAACTTACTTTATAATAAACTCTTATTCTTGTATACATCAAAAACGAATCCGCCTATTTATTTCAACATCACAACAGTTTGTGACGTCATGTTCAGCATTGTTTTTATAAACAAGTACAATAAAAAATTTATGTGTTTTGTTGTTGTAGTTTACAGTTCCTATCTGAGCATGAATAAAAAAATCTAAATTTTTTATGAAATTTTCAGAGGTTGTCTCGGATTTTTGCTCATATCTCGATCATAGCGATCTTCTCGAAAGCATGTCTAACAGAATTATTGAAGATTCGGATCTCGCCGATATCTAGGGTCCTCTAAAAACTGATTTCAACAAACACACAGACGGACAGACAGACAGACGGACATAGCTTAATCAAATCCGCTACCTATAAGGATCCAGAATACATATACTTTATGGGGTCGGAAAATTATATTATAGAAATTACAACCGGAATGACAAACTTATATATACTCTTCTCACAAAGGTGAAGGGTATAATTAAACAGGTAAGAGTGTTATATTCGGCTATGCCGAATCTTTTATACCCACCATCAAATCACTGCCATATAAATGAACTTTGATACATATTTTGAAAATTGTATTATTATATATCGATATTAATGAGAATATCAGGGTAATATTTTAAAGATATCCATTAATGCGGGTTTAACTATTGACATTGCTCTTTTGAATTAAAAATATTAATTTATATAGGGAGTAGGATTTTTTATACATACATGTATGGACCAATTCTCATAAAAGTCGGTAGGAAGATTTCAGTTCCTTATTTATTTCAAATTTCATAGATCTACTTGTATTTTTAAGCCAGCATTAAAGTCATAAAATATGGTAGAGAGATTTTAGCTCAAAATTATGTCTAATTGCATTGCGGTATTCGTATTTTTCGCTCTGTAGTCATTTTCTGAAGGGGAATTTATATGGGGTGGTGTTATTATGGACTGATCCTCATACAAATTGGTAGACAGATTTCGGTTCTTATAGAACTTATTTTAATGAGCGTTAAAGTAATTTTCTGATGAGGACCTTAAATAGGGGGTAGGAGCAAGCCCACAAAATTTTGTAGAGAGATGTTAGCTCATACAAAACTAGTTTATGTCGAATTTCATAGATCTACTGGTAGCCAGTACTGAGGTTTAAAGTCATTTTCTGAAGGGGCCTTATATGGGGTAATTATATTCAATTATAAAAAAAAATTTTGTAGAACGATCTTGGTTCCTACAAGTCATGTTTATATCGAATTACATCGCTTTACTCGTTGTTTTAGCCCAGTAATGAGCGTTAAAGTAATTTTCTGGGGGGGGGCCTTATATGGGGATAGGGTCAATTAAGGCCCGATCCACATAAAATTTGGTTAAGAGATTTTGGCTCGCAAGGAACTTAATTGAGTCGAATTTAATTACTATACCATCCAGTACTGAGTTTTAAAGTCATTTTCTGAAGGGTCCTTATATGGGGGTAGCGTCAATTATAGACCGATCCTCGTAACATTTTGTAGAACGATCTTGGTTCCTACAAGTCATGTTTATATCGAATTTCATCGCTTTACTCGTTTTTTTTAGCCCAGTAATGAGCGTTAAAATAATTTTTTGATGGGGATCTTATATGGGGATAGGGTCAATTAAGGCCTGATCCACATAAAATGTGGAATTTCATCGCTATACTTGAATTTTTAAGCCAGTAATGAGCGTTAAAATAATTTTATGGAGGGGACCTTATATGGGGGGTAGATTCAATTATAGACCAATCAACATAAAATTTGGTGGAAAGGTTTTGGCTCCTCAGATACTTACTTATGTCAAATTTCTTCGCTATATATTTGTATTTTTATACCAATAATTAACGTTAAAGTCATTTTCTGAAGGGTACCTTATATGGGGGTAGGGTCAATTATGTACCGGTCCACATAAAATTTGGTAGAGAGATTTTGGCCCGTATAAAACTTACTTCTGTGAAATTTCATTGTTATAATCCTTTTTTAAGCCAGTAAAAGTAATTTTATGGAGGGGACCTTATATGGGGGGTAGAATTGTGGAACGATCCACATAAAATTTGGTAGGGAGATTTTGCCTCGTATAAAACTTAAATTTCATCGCTATACTCGTATTTTTAAGCCAATAATGAGCGTTAAAGTAATTTTATGGAGGGGACCTTATATGGGTGGTAAGGTCAATTATGGACCGATCCATATACAATTTGTTGGAAAGGTTTTGGTTCTTAAGATACTTACTTACTTATGTCAAATTTCATCGCTATACTAGTATTTTTAAGCCAGTCATGAGCGTTAAAGTCATTTTCTGAAGGGGACATTATATAGGGGTTAGGGTCAATTATGGACCGATCCACATAAAATTTTATAGAGAGGTTTTGGCTAGTAAGACACTTACTTATGTCAAATTTATCGCTATACTTGTATTTTTAAGCGAGTAATGAGCGTTAAAGTAATTTTCTGAAGGGAAGTAGGGTCAATTATGAACCGATCCACATAAACTTTGGTGGAGAGATATTGGCTTGCTTGAAACTTATGTGTGTCAAATTTCATCGCTATATTCGTATTTTTAAGTCACTAATCAGTATTATAGGCGTTTTCTTTTTGGATGGTGGGTATAAAAAAGTTTATAATAATAATACAATCTTCTGTTAACTAGTTGAAGTTTTTTTAGTTAATTTTAATTCCAATGAGTATAAAAAATAAAATAATAGGTATATACCTACCACGAAAAAAGATGGAGAATTCATTGATTTTGTCATTCCGTTATTAGATTCTAAGACGATCTAGCAATGTTATATATTTTACAAATTCGATAAGGCCTAAGTGGGAATAGATATCCTTCATATATGGTTCCCTTCAGAAAATTATCTTATCGTTCATAACTGTCCGAAAAATTACAAAATCCCGTAAGGATCGGAAAAATATCATGCTCCTATTTTCCATTTTCAATACCAAACAAACCTTATTAATATATATAATACACAGGGTTCAAAAATATTCATGTACGAAGACTTAAATTGATACATTCGTAGTAAATATTAGGGTGATCGACTCGATTTTTCAACCGGTTTTAAAACCGGTTTTTTCTGCTTTACCAGTGACGGTTTTTTCTTAATGTTGATTTTTCGAATATCGAATAACCCGGTTTTTTTCACTTTTTAAAAACCGGTTTCGAATACTTTTATTTGCTTTGTATTCAAAGATTATTTAAATGAAATTTTTAAGTAAATAATAATACAGCCCGTCTAAATTTTAAAAATATTCGAGTCGAGGATCTAGCGTATATTTTTTTACAGCTCCTTTGTTAAACTTTTTTGATTTTCCTAATTAATTAAAAAAAAATTATTTGTAAAATTGATAACTGTTTGATAAAATTTTATCAATCTTTAGATTATATTCCAATTACAATAATTAATTTACGGCTGAAATTTTATGGAAGTGTTGGAATGCCTGTGCAAATTTCCTAAACAGGGCTTTTAAAATAAGGTAGGATTACATAGTACCTTATGTTTAACAGAAGTGTCCCACTTTTTTCCTAATTTTTTTTATATTAAAGAAATAATGTAAATCAGACTAGATCTAAAGTTATAATCTTTTAAACTGTTAAAAATCATTTCGGGCCATGTTTTATTAATCAAATTTAAACATAAACATTAAGTTTTTCAAATTAAAATATTTTTTTTTATTTATAATGAAAAACCGGTTAACCGGTCAAAGATGTCAAGTGTTCTCATCACACTCATTAATATTTACAATACATGTGTGAGTTGTTTGAAAATGAAAAAAATAAAAACAAGTTTTTTTCACAATACAAATATTCCATTTAGTTGCTTGACAGCATTAAACAAAGTAGGTTGCCATCGCTTTGTTTCAGAAATTGCAAAAATAATTTGTAAAATCAAAAACAAAACTGCAAAACCGTTCGTGTTTTATCAACAATGAAAACCCATGTACATTTTAAATGAAAAATATTCTTTGGTTTTATTTTTCGAATGCTAGAGTGCAAAATAAAACTATGCTCATTCATTTGAGTAAAGTTTACAAAATTATTTTCTCAATTTTGTGTATGAAGTAGGGTGATCGATTATTCGACATTTTCCAAAAACCGGTTTTCGAATAGTTCGAATAGTTGACATTTAAAAATACCGGTTGATATTTTTCAAATGCAGAAAAAACCGGTTAACCGGTTTTTCATTGTAAATAAAAAAAATATATTTTAATTTGAAATACTTAATGTTTATGTTTAAATTTGATTAATAAAACATGGCCCGAAATGATTTTTAACAGTTTAAAAGATTATAACTTTAGATCTAGTCGTCTGATTTACATTATTTCTTTAATATAAAAAAAATTAGGAAAAAAGTGGGACACTTATGTTAAACATAAGGTACTATGTAATCCTACCTTATTTTAAAAGCCCTGTTTAGGAAATTTGCACAGGCATTCCAACACTTCCATAAAATTTCAGCCGTAAATTAATTATTGTAATTGGAATATAATCTAAAGATTGATAAAATTTTATCAAACAGTTATCAATTTTACAAATAATTTTTTTTTAATTAATTAGGAAAATCAAAAAAGTTTAACAAAGGAGCTGTAGAAAAATATACGCTAGATCCTCGACTCGAATATTTTTAAAATTTAGACGGGCTGTATTATTATTTACCTAAAAATTTCATTTAAATAATCTTTGAATACAAAGCAAATAAAAGTATTCGGGTTATTCGATATTCGAAAAATCAACATTAAGAAAAAACCGACACTGGTAAAGCAGAAAAAACCGGTTTTAAAACCGGTTGAAAAATCGAGTCGATCACCCTGGTATGAAGATAAAAACAAAACAATACACACAAGAATGAATAAAGCAAAAACTGTTTTGTCTTTTCATACATGAGTAGATGATAACACAACAAAAATTATTTTTTTCATTTATTTGGTACTCTGATAATAGATATTTCTGAAAATGTTATTCCTGTACCGCAATTCTGTAATTTTTTAATTTAACTACCAATATCGTAAAGTAACGACAAATATCGGTTGCATTAACGAATTTTCAATTCTGTAACTTTTTAACGAAATTAGAATATTTTATCGACAAACGTCGAAAAAATATGAGAATGTCAAAAGTTTTGTATTGAAATATTTTTAAAATATAAAATTATTAACGTGAACTTTTTATTTGTCGTTACGTTGCCGATACTTTTCGTTAGGTCGATAGGATCCGAAGAAATACACCTAGGCCACTATCGGGCCTGTTTTCGTTAACTAATGATTTTGTTTAACGAAACAAATCGGTGAAATAAAATTCAGAATACCACATAACGACAATTATTGTTAACTTACGAATTTATACTATTTGTAGTTAAAAAGTTACTGAATTGCGGTACTGATTAATTTTACTTCATAACATAATAAGGAAGTATAATCGCTCATGTCCGAACATATGTAGATAATAGAGGTGTCCAAAAAATATCGATTTTGCTCAGATGGGTCTTTTGTTCATTAGTGTCTAAAACTAACTGGTGTAAAATTTTAGCCAATTCGGACAACGGAACCCGTGCCAGAAATCGATTGAAGTACATAATTTTAATGGGAAACTTATTTGGTTATATCATATTTATATATAAATTGATTTATGCCTTATAAATTTAAATTTATACCATTTACAAAATTATAAAACTCGCGAATAACTCGTTTTGACTCGAATCGCGAGCGAGTTCTATTTTACGCTCTTTAAATTTTCAACTCTTATCGCGAGTTTAAAAATTAAACTCGCGAGTCGAATAGATTTATTCGCCGGAAAATGAATTATTTAAATCGCTCGAATTAAACTCGCTCGCGAGCGAATTGAATTCGATCGCTATATATATATATATATATATATATATATATATATATATATATATATATATATATATATATATATATATATATATATATATATATATATATATATATAGTTAAAGATGAAAACTAGTCTGGTCTATAGTCTATTCTATAGTCTGTATAATAGACTAGACTACAGCCTAGACTATAGACTTAACTATAAACCAGGCTGTAAACTAGGCTATATACTAGACTATGTTCTAGTCTATATTTACTTTTAAAATGTAGGTCGATAACTATGTAGTTATTTATTTGAAATTTGTAACAGACTATGTAACCTATTGTTCAAGTTCGATTTATGGTTTACACTTGTTTTGATAACATATGCAAAAACTACTTTTTGCAACGTTAGAATCTTATTAAGCTCCGCTTTATTTACAATTTTGTTGGAAGATTCTAACGAGTAAACCGTTAACGGTACTTAAATATTGTTTGCCACCAATATACGTTTTGTAAATTGAATACACTTCTTTTTTGATCGTCAACATAAGCACTACGTGCTCTTGGCGTTATTACTTCTATGAGGTAAAATATAAATAAATACAGAGAGATCTACGTCTCATTAAATTTACAAATATTTTGTTTTATTTTCATAAAATCTTGGGAAATTCTGCTGGAGCTGAATACCTATTATTCGCAACGTTTTTGTAACCAAATTAGTAGTAATTTATTAATTTGTTTAAGGTAGGTACAATAATATGTAGTAATAGAACAAAAATAATTAGTTATTCACCCCAAAAGTAATTAGTTTCCACGTAGTTCCAATATTACTGTCTTCATTACTAGGTAATGAAAGTTTTTGCTATTTTTTACCCAATTTTATACTTTTCAATAGATTTTCGGCACAGGTTATCGTAATCCGACTTGACTAAAATTTAACACCAGTAAGTTTTATATACTAATGAACAAAATGAAATCCATCTGAGAATAATCGTAAATATGTATATATAATTATCGTATATTTACGATTTTGAAAAGAGAAAGGGGATCATCGGATCAAATGAATGAATGAACGATGATCTTGAATTTGTACCGAATTATGTTATGAATTCATTAAACGGTTTTGTTTAAGATCTACATTTGCTAATATTTTATGAAAATTAAAAATATACACACATACATGCATACATACATAACATACATAACATACATACATACATACATACATACATACATACATACATACATACATACATACATACATACATACATACATACATACATACATACATACATACATACATACATACATACATTCATACATACATATATTTTTAAAATCATTGAGAAATAAAAGAATATTCTGCTATACATATATTAAAGTTTTAACAAAACTTTAACAATGCTCAGCTGTTTTTTTTTTTGTATTAATCTTTTGACTTTTATGGTTTCGAAACTATGTTTTGCTGCAAAGCAGAAATATTTGTACTTTTAATAATTTCAAGCTAATATTTTAATCAGCTAGATAGGAGAAATGATTTTTTTTCCATAAATAAAAAATGTTAATACATATTAATTGTAATTATTCACCCTTAGTATGTCGAAGTCACGTCGATTTTCTTTCGAATTTTCAAAGCTATTGTCATCAGTTAAAATTTGATAATTATGATTACTATGATGGCAATACAGTATTGTGTTTGAAAATTCGAAATTAAGATCGAAACATGTTTAATAGTTTAAAATAATCTTTAAAAACAAAAAATAAAAAAACATTCGAACCTATGTTCGAAAATATTTTAAGTCTATTAAAACTAGTTCCTACAGTCTAAATGGACTGTCGAATTACAATATTATTTTCGAATATCCGAAATTAAGTTCAAACGATTTTAAGGTATTAAAATAATCTATGGATTAAAACCATTATTTTACTTCGAAAATTCGAATTTTTGTTCAAAATACAAAAAAATAATGTTGGAAAATAATTTAAGCTATTAAAATAATCTCTGGACTTAAAATATATGGAAATAGCGTTAATGGTTCTAATTAATTCAATATGCTAATATATATACATATGTATGTATATAAAGGTCCTAAAATATTGACTATCCGGCGATTTTTACTATTTCATATTTTTATCATCAGAAGAAATATGCTTCAAAACTTAATAATTTCAAAAAAGTAAATTATTTAAAAGTTATCAAAATAATCTACTACGAGATAAATAATAAGGGGGATTATAAATTATATACAAAACTAGGCATTTTGTGCAATCCAAATAAGATAAATACTCACTCCGAACGTGAAATATGTTCGGCTATGCCGAATTCTTTATACCCACCATCAAAACGTTTGTCATAAATAAATATTGTATAGTTAAATTAATTTGTATATATTTATTCAGGAATTAATCTTTTAGTATTTAATAACAGCCTTGGAAGGCTTTTTATTTTACTTGGAAATAAATTAACAAAATATAAATACATGAGATCTATGAACATCAGAGATTCTCGGAAGATGGCTTTAAAGGGATGTCAGGGTTAATTAAGACTATTTCATTGGGATTATAATACAATTATTAATATTAAGGTTATTTTACGGGGGCTAAAAAAAATTGTGGACTAATATTCAAATTTAACGCCAAACAAAGCTGATCAACAAGATCCATTTAGCATCTGCCGTTTGTACCCTATCATGCTTTTAACAGACGGACAGATGGAGGGACATGCATTGTCCTAGACGATGTGTTATAAATGGAATGACAAAATCAAAGACATGGCGATGTTTTTAATGATGGTGAATATAAAACTAGTGAAGTTCTATAATAAAATATTTACCCCACACAGGAATTAAGCATGTGTATGTTCTAATAACAAAAAAAAAAATACCTTAAAAGTCAAACCTTTTTACCTTCTTTCGAGTTCTTTAAAGGTCCATAAACACGAAGTATATTTTTGTATATAAATACTTATGGAATGATTTTATAGATATTATTTTTTATCAAATTGAATGCCGATTGTATTACTTAGAGCAGGTTTTTGGGTAAATAAGCAGATCTGTTAATCTAAAAATTATTTTAAACCAATATTAATTAATGCTTGTTTAAATTGTTCTATTCGCTATCATAAAATAGACAGCTGTGAGTGTAACATAAAGAAACCTATGTTTAATTCTTATAGAAAAAAAAAAAAATGAGTACTTAAAAAGAATCGAAAATAAATTCTAATTTAATCGCTAAACTTTAATCTGAAAACGGGCGGTTACCAAACTTTAAATTATTAAAAAAACATTAAAAAATAATTAAAAAAATAATCCTTATTTTTTCCCACCACTTTATAAGAGATTGAGGGCTTCTAGGGTTATTTTTGAGAACAATTGTAATTGATTAAATTTAAATCTTCTTTAAATTTCTAGAGATTTTAACCCTTTTGTAATAACAAAATCGCTATTTCGATAGATATTTTATGAGGCCAGTAAATTAATAGTCCAATTTATACCACTTCCTATATAAGGAATTAGTGAAATTTTATGTATAATCACACAGACGGATTATAATGGCATATTATATTAAAACGTTTATTGTTCGATTTGACCTACAAAAAGCTCTTCATATAAGAAATAAACGTTCAATACCAATGCGTTTAGAAATATGCAACACAAATATGAAAAGAACTTCTTTCTAATCTAATTAATATTTTGAATCTCGAAAATTAATACCCAATATTCTGTTGCATGCAAAAAACTATTTCTGAATAAAAATTGCATAAAGTATTATTTACAAATTATTCATAATTCTGAATGAGATTTATGTAAATATAAGAAAATTTTTAAAACATGTTTTCAATAAGTGTGACAAAATGCTCTAATTAAAACTTAAGTTTTGTTGTTTGCCTTTCACGTTTTTCTTTTCAAAAAAAAAAAAAAAAAAAAAAATTTACATTAATGTTTAAAATTAAGTCGAAATAAATTTTATTCGCCCCAATCGGTGTTGTTTATCGTATGCCCTTCAACTAACTGCTGTTGTGGTGTCGTTGAATCCTTACTGCTGAAATCACTTTCGTCTATAAATTCCACATGGGTAAAAGGAAAGTGACCCTTTTTGCCTTTATGCTCACCTTCCCATTGACCATTTATATTTGTTTTGGTGACTTTTATTATATCTCCCACTTCTAGTTTTAAAGCGGTTTTGTCATAAGCATTGGGAACTCTAGCCTGCTTAACTCGAGCAAATGCTGGCAATTTTCTCTGTAAAAATATTTAATTATTATTAAATTCCACTTTGTAACACTAAATAAAGAATCTTACGTTCAAATCAGATTTCTTTAAAGTATTGCTTAGTTGATGTATTGATGAAGGTGTTGGTACAATATCGCCGCCACATGAAAGTCTTGGCTGTCTAATGATACTATTGCTACTGCCACAATTACTGCTACTCCCTGAAGACGGCCGTTCCAGCAAAGTTTCATCTACATTCTCGTCATACTAAAAATAAATAAAATATTTCAGTTAAATTGGTTTTATATATTATTTTTTATTATTACATATAGAACAATTATTGACTTTTTTCCCTATTACTAGAAACTCCTTATGAATTGATACATAACCAGGAAAATAGTTTCGATGTTAATTAATGTGCTAATGCTTAAATTTTTGTATTATTATTTTTTTTTTTTTTTTTTGTTTTAAATTTTAAATTATTTAATTTTAAGCATGTATGTTATGGTTTTAGATCATATACCGGCGTATAGAGAGGCAGATAAAAAAATTACCACTACACACACACTATTGGCATTTTTTCAATTAAATTGCACCGAAAAAATATTTGGTTATTTTTAATTTGAAGATTAAATTGCATTACTGTAAAATGCGAATATTTAAAAAAAAAAAAATGTAATCAATGTACATAAGAATGATAATTTCTTCACATAGAAAAAACATTTCAAATTAAAATGTACAAAAAAAGTATGAAACAAGGTGAACTTATTTACTTTCATTGTTATGCATTCTAGAAAATTATTTAGGATGTACGTTGTTTTTGTAAATTATGCTCTTGTTTTTGCAAGTTGTTTTTGTTTTTTCAAGATGTGTTTGCAATTTCTTTAACAAAGTGCCGGTTCACACAGAGAAACTTTTGATTTTTGTATAATACCGAAATCTTCTGTTTCAGAAAATTCGTTTGAAACAACATATACAGATTAGGGATGCCAATCCCGAAATCCCGAATCCAGGGATTTGCTCAAATAAATCCCGGTATTTTTTCGGTATTAGGATATCCTGATACCCGGGATGTTTAAAAATGAATCCCGGGATTTGTTACAAAAAAATTTTTATTTTCTTTTTTCTTTTCATAATTTTCGTTTGAAAATTACGATCTTATTTTATTTTTGACTTTTGCACAACAAAATTCAACACAGCTAATTTTATACATATGTATTTGAACCTTTTTTTTTTTTAAATGGGATGATTCCATACACATAGTACATATAGATTGATTTATTCATTTCGTTTTTAACACATCGAAATGTTGGTCATAGACAAAAAGTATACACATTCTGTGTCTGTAGAAGACTCATTCAATTTAGGCTGCAAATTTGGACCAAAATTGACGCAAGAAAACCTAGTAGGACCTCCTCTGAAAATCACATTGATGCTCATATTAATATCAATACGTTACAATATTTTGATGGTGGGTATTTAATTTTGCCACAGTTAAATACAAATTATATTTTTCAATGTTAGAAGATTTTGCATTCCAAACTTTCTACAAATCAGAGTGATACCCGTAAAAGTAAATTACCTTGTTCTGAATGTACATACATAATATTTTATATAAATACTACGAATATGTTATATTCCAAAACTAATATGTGTTTTGTGTAAAATTCCAAATATTTTTCAAAGAAAAGATTCTAAATTGATGTTCGAATAATTGAATTGGGCTTTGTTATAATTATTTAAAAAACGCATAAAAAGTGCTTTTAGGAAGTATGTAGTTAAACATTTTCAGAAATGATGAAATTTTAAAGTTTTTATTTAAAAATTGGAATTAATTGGATTGTTTTAATTTTAATATATCTTCTGTCTGCTAAATTTCCACAATTTTCTTTCAAACATGAAGATTTAAAGATTTTCATATATAAAATAATTAAATTTATGTAATCCCGAAAAATCCCGGGATTTGTAAAAGCCAGTCCCGTTTGGCATCCCTAATAAAGATAGACAGACGAACATATGTAGTTCTATCAAAATATAATAGAAGTCATTCTTTACATCTTAATCACATCTAAAAATGCGATTACGATTCCTTTAAATAATATAAACGCAGAAAAAAACGAGGAAAAAATTGTAGAAAAGTTACTGGCGAAAAACCAATGATTTTACTGATTCTAAAAATAAGATTATATTTATTTAAAATTTGTCAAATGACACTCTAATGAACAATGACAATCTAATGAAAATTCATTGGTTTTTCACCAAAATTGGAAGTACTTTAAGTATGTTATTTGTGGTGAAAATTCTACATCTTTTTCCTCACTTCTTTTGCTGTGTAAGGATCCAGAGTATATGTACAATATACTTTATAAGTTCGAAAAATTATATTGTATAAATTACTAACAGAATGATAAACTCACGAAGGTGATGAGTATAAGAATCACTTGCAAATTACATCCATTAAAAAAAAAATTATTAAAATTTATTACAACTGTTTTTTTTTTTTTCTTTGTAAAGCCCCCTATACACGAGCACGCAAGTAATATGATCTGTCAAAATTTTGTGTAGAAGAGTACAGATGCGATCGTCTAAACGCAATATGTAATGAAACCATCACACATTGAGAGAAAATACGGGTGCAAAATTTAACAGTCGTATGGCTCTCTTCATTTTTTGAAATTATTCAAAAAACGAGCAAATCGCATTAGCTCAAGGATGTATTTTTATGTATACACATACAAAAAAGTGAAACAGCTGTTTCCATCTTACTTTGTTGTTGTCTTATACCAATCGTGTAAACACAAAGAATATAAATCATACGACTTTTATTCTTTTTTTTTTTTTTGACATACGGATGGAATTTAATATTACTTTTTCATTAGACTACGTACGTAAAGTGTGATCGTGTAAAGGCCCCTTAAGACTAATGCATTGAACACATTGAAGACAGCAGACTACCAACTGCAATCTCTCAAAAATAAAATACACACGTTTATATGAAGACGATTCTTTTGACGACCACTCGACTGCTTTTGTAGCTGCAGTCGAATTAAGCTAATTTCTATTTTTGTCAACCACAAAACAGAAACAGGTTGCTAATATAATAAAAAATTTAAGTGCTTAAGAAATATAATTTTTTTTTTAATTTATTAAGAGAAGTTCTGATAACCATATTGGAATTAATTAATAATAGGTACGTAAATTATTACAACATATATATTTTTACTCAAAATAATAGTTTAAATCTTAAATTAAAAAAAAAGTAAAAACAAAAAACGATAAAGTGACACCACTGAATTATAAATCCATATCAACAAGAAACAGCTGTTTATTTATATTACTTTGTAGCTGTAGTCTTTAAAATAATTCGGTAGCTACCACACGACTACAACTACAGCACAGCAGCATTTGTTTTCGTGTAGTCGTGTAGCCTGCTGTCTTCAATGTGTTCAATGCATAAACGTTGTGAATGTATTAACCCGTTTAGATCTCAACCATCTTAAAATCAATGGATTTAAATTATTTGTTGCAAAATTAATCTTATTGTGGGTTAATTTAAAATAAAATTTAAAAACAAAAATTTTTTAAAAAAACTCATATTTTAATAACCAAAACCTTTTATAGGGGCTAGGATCAGTTATAGATCAGTCCTCATTAAATTCGGAATGAAGAATTATGTTCCTAAGTATAAACTTTTTTATGTCGATTTTCATCGCAGTACTAGTAATTTTCTGAATTTTTTTCATAAACTATTCTAAAGGATCTTATTATGAGGGGTATGGTGAATTATTGACCTATCCTCATAACTTTTTGTAGACCGATTTTGGTTCATATAAAACTTCTTTACATTGAATACCATCGCTGTACTCGAATTTGTATGCCAGTAATTAGCGTTAATGTAATTTTCTAAAGGGGGCTTATATGGGGGGTAGGGTCAATTACCGACACATTCCGCATGAAATTCGGTAGCGAATTTCATAACCGTATTTCATAACTCATATTTTTTAAGCCAGTAATGATGGTTTAAGTAATTTTCTGAAGGGGACCTTCTCATAAAACTTATGTGTGTCAAATTTCGTCACTATAAATATTCATATTTTTAAGCTATTAATGAGCGTTATTGTCATTTTCAGACGGGGACCTTATATGGAGGTAGGGTCATTTATGGGCCGATCCAAAAAAAAAGGTACAAAGGTTTTGGCTCGTAAGAAACTTACGCGTGTCGCATTTCATTGCTTTACTCGTATTTTTAAAACAGTAATGAGCGTTAAAGCCATTTCCTGAAGGGAACCTAAAAGGGGGGAGGGTGAATTATGGACCTATCCACATAAAAGTTGGTAAAGAGATTTTGGCTCGCGAGGAACTTAATTGTGTAAAATTTTATTGCTATATTCGTATTTTTTAGCCAGTAATAAACGTTAAAGTAATTTTCTGAAGGGGACCTTGTGTAGGCGGTAGGGTCAATTATGGACCGATCCTCACTATATTTGGAAGAGAGATTTTGGCTCGCATGAAAATTATTTGTGTCGAATTTCGTCACTATATTCATATTTATTGAGCCAGTAATGAGCGTTAAAGATATTTTCAGAAGGGACAGGGTCATTTATGGGCCGATCCTAAAAAAATTGGTAAGTATACTCGCATTTTTAGGCCAGTAATGAGTGTTAAAGTCATTTTCTGAAGGGGACCTTATATGGGGGGTAGGGTAATTTATGGGCCGATCTTAAAACAAATTGGTAGAGAGGTTGTGGTTTGTAAGAAACATACTTAAACCGAATTTCATCGCTTTACTCGAATTTTTAAGCCAGTAATGGGTATTAAAATCATTTTCTGAAGGGGACCTTATATGGGGGCTAGGGACCGATCCTCAAAAAATTTGGTAGAAAGATTTTGGCTCATATGAAACTTATTTATGTCGAATTCCATTGCTATACTAGTACTTCTAAGGCAGTTATGCCCGTTAAAGCTGTTTTTAAGGTCCACTTGTATGGGGGCTATCTGAAAAAGTAGACCATTTGTCCATTTTTATACCAAACAAACCTTAGCAGTAGAGAATACTTAAACAAAATTTCAACTGTCTAGCTCCTACCGTGACAGACGGACAGACATGGCTAGATCGTCTTAGAAATTAATAAGGACCCAGAATATATATTATAATAATTTATGCAATTCAAGAAAAAAATAAGCGAAAACTATGAAGTGATATAACCAAAGCGAATGCAAATAATAATAATAACAGATATGCATTTTAAAATTCAAGAAAATGAAAT